TATCGATACGTTTGTTCACGACGACGATCAGCCGTCATATTCGAAGCTGTCGCTCATGCTTTCGCGCGCCCGGTCTATGCACGCTCTCATTGGTCAGTGTTTTTTGCTAATAACTCGAAAATGGAGCCTCAACCAATATTTTGGCAAAGGAAAAAGTTGTTCAGAATCGCCCCACCTACCACCCCTTTTCGGGTCCTACACTAATTGCGGGACACCCTGTATAATATATAATAATATAGACATTTTACTATTTTATAAGATCATGAGTCAAGAACTAATAAGTGGTAATGTACAATATTTTTACATGGTTTCTGATATTTCATCAAGCAATATCTTAAAATTTAAAACAAAACACAGCAAAAGTAAAAAACTTGAAAGTACAGACATAAGGCAATATGTTATAACAAGTGATTCGTCAGATGCGAGCTCCAAGTGCAGTACAGATACTGGTTCCGAATCCGATTCAGAATTAATTTGAGGAAACCAAAATATAGGTACGTTTTTAATATTCTAATATTCAATTTACTTTTGTTGTACCATTTAAGTTATATATATTTCGATAAATCTAATATAAACATCTCGTAAGTGATATTTATCTGTAGAAAAGATATTTATTTATAACAATTTGCTTGTGATTCATGCTCGATTCCTTTGAAAACGATATATTGCAATTGATTATAAATATTAAAATTATTGTTACAAATTATTTATTACAAACCATTCTTACAATAAGTAGTATAAAAAATAGTATTATTTTAAGTCATATAACTTTTTTCCAGGCATGAAAGAAATTTGGACATAGAGGATTAATAGAACAACATCGTAAAAATCAACATAAAAAAAGAATTATCAGAAAATTCCATACTGCAGCAAAGTTACGAATTTTGTCCCGAACGACCATATACACGAAACACTGTGCGCCGTCTGGGTTTAATACAAGTGAAAACGCCCCGCTTGTAGCAACCAATCTGTATATCTGACAACGGACATCACCCAATTGATATACGCCGATTTTAATGAAATTGTTATACGTTACAGAACTCGAAAAAAATATTTGACACGTATTTTTTTTTTATCGGCGAATATCCACTTTGAAGTGGTGAAAATGAAATATATCTTCGCAAATTTTTCGGGAACTATTAGACCTAGGTACAAAATTCAAAATGTTTCGAAAGGTCAATATTACAGCGTAACTGAATTTTTAAAAAATTTATTTGCTTAAAAAATATGTTAAAAATTAACATTATTTTGCAAAAATTTTTAATGAAACGTTTAACTATTTTGATCAAATTTCACATACGTAACTTGTGGATCCAAAGAAAAAATACGGATTACAGTGGATATTCTATATAAGCAAATCTTTCGGGAGTGAGGTTTTGCGTATATCGTACAGGTCCTACATTGATTGATGTCTTGCCGAACGTAGAAAAGGACAGAAGAGAAAAATATCACGGTCGCCGTTTGCGTATATCGTAAAGGTGCTACATTTCGAGCGAAGGAGACTGAACGTAAACAAACAGTGACTTACTAGAAGGACACTCCTAATGCAAGAATAAAACTTTTTTATTTTTGATTTTTTTTGTTTAAATTTTTTCCATCATATTTGTAACATTTTTCTCATTAAAATGAGACCAAACACGACACACTTCGGGACATACATATTTACTTGTAATTTAAAGTGTTACGCGTACATCGATGATTTTACTCTAATAAGATATTGCAA